TATATATACGTACACACGCACGCGCATGCGATTGACTATATGAATCTATGCAGACCAATGGCTACGATCAATCGTATAAATCGGTATATCGCGTATCAATCAATCTGCGGACAAGCTTTGCGGCGGCTTCGTCTGCTGACCGCTCGTACTGGACACTTCTACGGCGACCTCCTGCGCCGCTCGGCAGCAGAAGATACGCGCGAAAACTCTCCCGTACTCCGAGCGAAACTCCTGACTCGCTATCCCGTAAAGGAAAGGGTTAATAGCGCTGTTTGCGTGCGATATGTAGATCAGGACGCGAACCGTGGGGAAGGGAACCATGTAGAAAAACGCGCTGACGAAGTTGGCCGTGAAGAGAGGGTACCAGCTCGCGAAGAAGAAGACGATGATCATGAAGAGGACTTTCGCGATCTGGACTTCTTTCCGCCACCGTCTGCCACCCATGGATTTTTTATTCGCGTCGTCGCCAGGCGGCGCCACTTTGTCGGCGTACTGCGACGCGCACGTGTTGGAGGCCATCTTGTTTAACTGCAAGGAAACGATGGAATGACGTCATTAAGATGTCGCTACGTTGACGATTGTGCGTCTAATATATTGCATGTCATTTATTCGAATAATATCACGATTTCAAAATGGCGGATATACCCTAGTCTGGGCTCCTATCCCCACTTCCATTGCGCTGCGCTCCGTTATAGGAAAAGAAACCCAGTGGAAGTCAAGAAACCCAGACCACACTTCCCCCAGCATCAGAATGAACCCAGCCCTACAACAACTTGCTTCTTTGTTTCCATTAAAAAACTTTATTTAGTAAAGAATCTGGTGAATCGCGTAACTGTTGGTCTCGAATTCAATTTTCAACGGCAATTTCATCCCCGCGTACATATCGTGGTCGAGAAAGTGTAGCATTATGACATTAAACTACTAATGCGCATGTTAGGCTATCGTTATCGATCAGTAAGCGTAAATTCTGACATTAACTCATTTATGAGCATTTTTTAGGTTATCATTACCGGCATGAAAGCGTAGAATTGTGACATTAAACCACTAATTCGGCTGCATGCTAGGTTCTCACTATTTGCGGGAAAGCCTAGTATTTTGACATTGAATAATTAATTAGCCTGCTGGGTTATCTTCCGAACAGATTTTCCGCATTACTGGGTACATTTATAATATTAATATATATAATATTATTTATATAATATAATTTATATTATTGCATCTAATATAAATTAGATGCAATAATGTGATTCAACCTGTACTCTGCTGAGTTACAGTACTGTATCTAGCTATGCATCGTGTGAATCGGTAGATTCAATCTCACCTGCTTCCTGATAGCGTTGAAGATCAAAATGTAGAGAATCGTAATGATGAGTGAAGATGGGACGACGACGAAGAAGAAGAAGAACGCCAAGTAATGGAAATTTATGATCTCAACAAAGAAACACCTGCAAGAAAGAGAGAAAGAAACCCCGAATGTGTTGGTTACTATACAGTTGATCTCCCTTCGCGGTCGCACACGCGCACACACACACACACGCACGCACGCACTAGACTCGTTAGTGGAGTAGGCGAGGTACGGTCCGGCATATTAGATAGTACCAGGGTACGTTCCGGCAGTACCCTGGGGGACATAGACCCTCTCAGCAGTAGTACGCAGTATCGCAGGCCTACTTACAACTGCGATTATTGCGATGTTACAGTAGCTTCATGCCGATTGACGACACATACTTAACAATGGAAAAGAATATGAGCGAAGTGTTGCGCCACCTGGTGGAAGTCGAAGAAGCCGCTGATGACATTCTCACGGATAAAATGCAGTTGGTTAATTTGGATCGAAAGAAGAACAAAAACAGAGAGGCCATCAGGTATGACCCTATAGATATATATTATGTATATATATAATCTCTATATGTATATATATAATCTCTATATATATATTGTATTATACTACAGATATATTGTATAGTGGGATAAGGTTGTGGACATTGCAGGGTCGTGTACATAGGATTGGGAAGCATCCTATCTATGCTGGTCACTGGCATATGATTATGAATGGATGAATTAGTTGTGTTGTTGACATTTCATCTCACACTATGATCATATAACAGTTGAGCGTGGGTTCCCCATTTACCCGGGATGCAATCTTCTATCTTCAGATCTCTAAAGACTGTTCCTTCTACCTCCACCTCCACTAAGGAGCAGAAAGCGTGGGTCTGCTTCGGCAACATGTTTCTCAAGATTCCCTTGACTAAAGCTAAGCAAGTACTTGAGGAAGGTAAGTCGAAACTCGTGAATCGGATAGTACCTTTTAAACGACCCCTTAAGCGCAGATACCTTCATAGGCATGTATCATATGGCCTACGTTATGGCCTGTTATTGATTTCTAAGTCTTATTCTTACACCGTTTTTTTCAGACCAAGAGCGCACCTTTTAAATGACCCCTAAAGTGCAGATCTATGCCTTTGTATGCATGTATCATCAGGGTTCTTGTTAATAGCCGGTAACCGGTTATTTTTACCGCCTATCGCGCAATTTGTTACCGGCTATCAATTTGAGAGAAACTCCCACTAAAGGCGGTAAAATATTTAATCCATATTTGAAAAAACGAAGTTTATTTTAAATACTTGGCAGATACTACTAAAATAAAGAGGAAATACACTGTTACCTGGACTTTTACTTGACATTTATGATTTTTCTTTTTATAATAGATACTTAATAGCATATATTTTCCTATCTAAACTACCAAATTTTAGAACCCATACCCATCAAAATAGGCTATTTGTGGGTCAAATCAGAATTTTTTTTCCGGGGGTGCATGCTCCCGGACCCCCCTAGCAGGGCTTCGCGCCTTCGCCGCTTGCCCTACCGTCCGTGCCGGAAAAACAGTTACCTGCTATTCATTGTCAAATTACCTGCTTTGTCAAAAGTTAACAAGAGCCCTGATCATATGGTCTGTGTTATGGCCTATTAGCGATTTCTAAGTCTTCTTCTTATGCCGTATCTTTTCAAACCAAGTCGGCACCTTTTAAACGACCCCTAAAGTGCAGATGCCTTTGTAGGCATATATTCTCTCGTCTATTACATAACCTGTTACTAATTTTCTACCCGCTAGTCGGTGCCACATCTTTTCAGACCAAGAAACTAGTAATTTGCTAATTAACTATGTAGTAATCGCTAGCCCTGCACTATGTTTTTTCAGACCAAGAGCAGCTCGATCGTGAGATCGACTCGCTAAGAGCGAACCTGAAGGCGAAGGTGAACAGGCTGAACGAACTGGAGGGGAAGGAAGAGTTGAAAGGTTTCTCGCTGGCGGCGCTAGACAGAAACGAGATGGCAGCGATGAAGCAAGGTCGACCGGGGTCGTCGTGACACCCTGAGACATCGTGACACACTGAGACGTCGTGACACACCGGGACAGTGTGACATCGATACAAGCTGAAACGTTGTGACACCCTGGGACATTGGTGACACCCTGAGACGTCGCGACACACTGGGACAGTGTGACATCGATACAAGCTGATACGTTGTGACACCCTGGGACATTGGTGACACCCTGAGACGTCGCGACACACTGGGACAGTGTGACATCGATACAAGCTGATACGTTGTGACACCCTGGGACATTGGTGACACCCTGAGACGTCGCGACACACTGGGACAGTGTGACATCGATACAAGCTGATACGTTGTGACACCCTGGGACATTGGTGACACCCTGAGACGTCGCGACACACTGGGACAGTGTGACATCGATACAAGCTGATACGTTGTGACACCCTGGGACATTGGTGACA